ACTTATAGAATTGAAGAAAACAATGAACTTTATAGTTAACTTGGTAGATCTTTTCCCACAGTGATTCTTTGTTTTTCTCTGTCACTATATTACTTACTCCTCAAATCCAAGCCAAAGGGACACATTAGCCCATCTTCTACTGGTAACAAAAAATCTTCTTGAAAGTATAATTTTGTATTAAAAATGTAAGGATAATTGACCTTGAGTTGATTGTTGATTGCTGTTTCCAAATAGTGTATGGCTTACTTATATGTTGTTATATATGATCATCCTCTCTGACATCTTCATGTTTCTGTATAATTATTTCTTATATATTTAACTGTCACTAGCCTGTAAGCTCTTTGTTACTGTATAATATGTACTTATTAAATTTTTGATAAGAGGAATAAATGAGTAAATGAATCATGGTTTATGTATAATACTTACTACTTATTTTTTCAATCAGATTATAAGTCCCTTGTGGACTATTTTATCTGTGTAATCTTCCACAGTCCGTGTTATTTTAATTATGAAAACCACTTTTGTTTAAACATAATTTTGTCTAGTTACAATCTAATATAACTGAGATATCTCCAGGTCCTACAATAAAGACTTAGGTTTGCCATTTATTGAGTTATTAAGGACTCTAACATATTAATTCATTTGATTCCTACAAAAGCCTAGTAGTAGTATTTGAACAACCAGAAAAAGGCTGATTAAGAGCCTGAGTAGCTCAGCTGGTAAAGAATCTACCTGCAGCGCAGGAGACCCTGGTTCGATCCTGGGTCGGAAAGTTCCCCTGAAGAAGGAATAGGCTACCCACTCCAGTATTCTTGGGTGTTCTGGTGGCTCAGATGGTAAGGAATCCACCTGCAATGCAGGAGACCTGGGTTTGATCCCTGGGTTGGGAATATCCCCTGGAGACGGACATGGATACCCACTCCAGTATTCTTGGGTGTTCTGGTGGCTCAGATGGTAAGGAATCCACCTGCAATGCAGGAGACCTGGGTTTGATCCCTGGGTTGGGAATATCCCCTGGAGACGGACATGGATACCCACTCCAGTATTCTGGCCTGGAGAATCCCCATGGGCAGAGGAGCCTGGCAGGAACCCATGGGGTCACAAGAGTTGGACATGACCGAGTGACTAAGCACACACACAAAAGGAGTATAGAAATTCTTTTGGAAAGAAATTTTCAGTGGCTATAAATGTAAGATCTACTGCCTTCTCAGTTTCGTTTCATGATTGATTAAATGTTTTTATGAACTTAAGATCTCTAATAGATACCGCTGATCCTTTGTGGAAGATGGATTTTTAAAGAACTATCTCTTCTAAGTGAGTAATATAGTGAGTTTGGCTTCAAAGGATAAGAGAGGTCTAAGGTTAGGAGGAAGTTTTCTCTCTCTGGATTAAAGAAAAATAAAGATAAGGAATCATGTTATTTCTGTCCATTTTCAATTAGTTTAGTGCTGCAAACTCATTGACTACCTACTTTCTGTGTGATTTGGTGCTATGAAAGATACAAAGTGAAATGAGTTGCTCTCTGTATGTTGATCAGAAATTATAGGAAGTCAACTAACGTCTGTTTTAGAATTACAGAAATTATTAGTAGACACAACAGGTATATCATCTCTAGTTGAAATAAACTTTCCTTAATAGTGTTTTTTACTCCAGGTTAAATCAGCAGAGTCATTGAGTCAGGTATGTGCAGCAGAGGAAAAACTATCAAGAAGACCTATACTAAGACTAATGAGAGCAGGCAGTTAGGTCCAACTGTCTTCTTTCTGATAGAATGTTCTTATTTTCCTCAGACCTTTGTTTTGATAGATCTGGAAACTCCATTTTGAAAATGTTTCCAGGATTAATCAGGCCCAGAAGCAGTAACTCTTACTTCTGGATGTAAAAGTGATAGTTAAATAAACCAGGGTGACTATTTATTCCCTTATGTACAACGGTCAGATACCAAAGGACTCTGCAGGACACGCTCCTTGTGCAACTATGTATGCAGCGAAATGTTGCTTGGTGAGGATGAACTCAAGGCAGAGCGAGTTAGTTGGATGAATTGTATCATCAAGCAGTCTATCCCAAGAGGACTAGATTCTCAGATCTGTTAACCAGGAAATGTTCGGTTATAAATTCTTGCTCTTTGCCTCTCTCACCCCCAATTTTTCCCATACGCAATAATACCTCCCTCTCCCTTCCCGTTAGAAACTTTTTTTTTCTTTCCAGTTATAATCTTATTAGTTGAGATACATCGTTTTTTTATAGTCAAACATATTTCCTTAGACTAAACCTGAAAGATCATTTCTTAGAGTAAGGTCGGCCATCAGGAGAAGACAAAGTATATTTGATAAAATTCATGAGGGCTATATTTCTGTAAGTCTTGCTTATTTCTAGTTTTTTTGTTTTTTGTTTTTTTTAGAAAATAAACTTCTGGTTTTTAAACTAGGAAAGTATTCTTATAGATCTCAGTTATGCAGACTGACACAAATCTTAGCTATTTTGATCATTAGACCATAATCAAGACATAAATATTTCATTGGAAATAAGGTATTTTGATTGTGGACAACACACAATAAAAATGTGTTTCTTATCATTCCTTGAAGAATCTGATTTTTTCTAGATAGCTGTCCTACATATAGCAGGAATTTATAAGATTGAATTATTACTCCTTGAAGATATTAATTATCTTATTGGTCCTTTCGTGATAGTCACTAAAGGTTATTGACTCTTTTGTGTTCAGTGGAATTATTTGCAATGAAATCTATTTAAATTACTTTTAGTTTTTCTGTGAAATATCCCACAATCCCCTGCATAAATAAAACAAAAGTTTATTGAATGTAGTTTGGCACTTGAAAATGACTTGTAATTGTCAACGTTCCTTCACTAGTAATCTCTCTTCTAGTTTACTGTTTCTATTGTGTGTATGAATGTGATAACTGATAACTTTTGTTGCCCTGAGTATGTTGTATAAAAGCCAGTGCAAAAACTTTGTGACATGTTTGGTCATTTGTTGTTCTTGTAATAGTATTTTGGATAGCTGAGAGGTAAGCGTTTGCCATTTCTAGAGGGGAAAAAAAATAGTCCTTTATAGGTTGCCTCACAAATCATGTTCATAAAGTCATGGTAACCAATAGATAGAATGACTGTCTGTTTATGATAACTTGAAAAGTAGTGTTCCTGTTATTTCTTGAACCAGATTCTAGAAAGATAGCAACAAAAGCACTTGAAAGTAAGCGCTTTCCCCATAGGAAGTCTAAATACAAAGTCTTTTAAGTTGATCTTTTATTGTCAAAAAAACATCCCTCAAAATTATAATCAGGTTGTGAGTTTAGGCATGGTAAAAAATTTCCTGTACTATTAGCTAGTTATAATAGTCTAACCTTATAATTGCCTTCCTTATCTCGAAATAGTTTCTAGTTTCAAATATTATCCACACCTGGGATTCAGGGCCACTTATACACCTTTCCTCATTAACACTTTTAAATTTCTTTTCTGTTTCTTCCTTCACATTTTTGTGCAAACTGTCTTAATTGTTTCATAATAGCCTGTCATCATCAGTTCTAAGAAACCATTTAAATTACTTCATTCACTTTTTTTTTCAGATATGGAACCAGGGTCCCAACTTTTCTCTAAGTCTCTAATCAATGTTTACATGTATTTGCAGTCAATGTTTTCACGAAGTAAAACATTATTTTGAGCAAATTATGCAATAGAACCAGGAAAGGTTAATTATGAGTAGAATTGTCATTGGATATCATGAATTTCAGAAAATGCTAGGAACATTAGTGAATATAGAGTAACTAATCCACAGCCTCCTCACACATTCTGACAAATCTGGAAGTGAAGCCCTGTTACTGGTTACTAGTCATCTAAAAAACCATAGATTTGTTTTCCTGTGTGTGGGCCAACTGAAGTTAGACAGCTGTTCATACAGAAGAACTTAATAATATGAGCCATTCATGTAACTTCTTTTAAAGGGTTTTTTGAAGCAAAGGTATTTTTTTAGTAGTAGTATTGGAAGACAGTCACATCTAAAGAAGTTTTTGGAATTGGAGTTGCAGTTAGAAATATTTGCATGAATAGTACTGCTTTAATGATAGTGCAGTCCATCTGCTGTATATGAGGAAGCTAATAAATAGGGTAAAAGGAGGAAAACTCTTAACTGTTTTGTATATTTAAAAAGAATATTTTTGTACTATTTAAAAGTATTTTTAAAATGTAAATATATATCTAAAATAAGATTATGTAACTTGTGTTTTTAATTATTTCTATGTTCCTTATCCATCCCAGTGTCTCAGTCTAATGATAAGTCTTCCATTAACATGAATTAGACTAGCATGTCTAGAAACTTTATTCTCTTTGTTGAGTTCTTTCTCTTATATGTTTGTGTTAACAGCCTTTTGGAAAACACATAATGAGATATTGCATTATTATGAAGGGACTTTTTTTTCTTTTGAAGCAGTTTTTACTGAATACTAATCAGTTAGCTTTACTTTTCGAGTAATAGTATCGTAGCGTGGTAAATGCATACATTGCATTGTTGAATTTGTGTTGGTTTACAGAAATCCATAACCAGTAGCAATTTTTGACTCTTTAAAGTTTTCTGTTCACTAGTGTCTTTAATTTAATATTTTGGTATTTAATTTTGAATGCATGTGACAGTTAAGTTAAATATAGGCTTTTAAAAGAATTATCAAGAAGGCAAATGTAATAAAAGGTATTTTTTAATGAAGGGAGACTCCTACAATTTGGGGAATGGGGTTTGTAATTGAATTTTTTGTTTTTTTTTAAGCACAAGGTAATATTGACTCTGTTTTTCCAAGGGAATTTCAGCACTGTACATGGATAATTTAGAATTCTTAGTACCTATATATAGACTGTTTATATCTTCAGAATATTCTCTTAATATGATTAAAAACATCATAAAGTAGATATAGAATAAAGCCCATAAAATAGATATAAAATAAAGCCTTGAAAACTTTGTTATACCTGAGTATAATTTTTTAAATTTTTAATAGGATACAACATCTATTGAAAAGATGTCAAACTGTTGTGAAGAAATGTAAGTATTAAAGTGAACTCTGTAATTTTCTTATTTAAAAGTGTAAACAACTGGTTACCTTTGAAAAATGTGTGCATGTAGTGAAAAGATAATATAATGATGGCTTTTTCTCAGTACCTTATCTAAGGTCTGAGCTAGACAAGCATGACCCAGTCTTACAGTAGGGGTCTTCTAGCTGTGATAGTTTTCAAACAAAATAAGTACTGATCATTCTTGTCCCTTGTCTAACTGAAGTAAGTTTAATTATTTGTCCTGAAAGTACATCAAAAGAGATTTGCTACTGTGTTGTTGACACACATTCTGTTAATCCTGAGATTCTTCTCTGCTTCAAAAGTTGCCTATGTTGATTGACGACACAGATACAATATCTGCTATCCAGAGTTAAAACTCAGCTGCATGCCATAATGAAAGAAAAGCTGTATTTGTGATGCTGGGGCACAATTCATCAGAGTCCAGTAATGGATCCCCAGCCAACCTGTATTGTTTTAGCTTACTGGAGTGCACCATGGGAGTGCTGTCTTTCACTAATAATGCTGTCTTCTGTAGATCGAGGCCCCGAAAGCCATGGCAGCAGACCTTCTCAGAAGTTTTTGGCACTCGTTGGAAGATCCTGTGGTTTATTCCTTTCAGGCGGAGGCAACCACTGCGAGTTCCCTACCACTTTGCCAATCACGTCTAAACAGATGGATGGTGGGCACAGATGGGTCCTCCATGCTTTAAATGCGTTACAGGTTTTCTGATAATAGAACTATGACAGTCTTCAAGTCAATTAAAATCCACCCACCAATCTTAAGCATCATAATGTGCCCCAGGCTTTATTTTAATAGTGATCTTGATCCTGTTGTGGGACTAATACAAGATCTATATTTAAGTTTTAAAGCATGTTTACTTTCAAATTAGCTTTCCACAGGGATTTCTTTAAATGCTTTTGTTATTAAACTCAAAAGGCACTGATTGGGATGAAATAATTGTACATAATTTCTTTTAGTACTAACAGTGTTACAGGTTTCAATTTATGGGAAACTTCAGATGTTTATTTAAAATTTTCACTCTTAAGCAGTACTAACCAAATCTGAATTTAATTCTTCACATTTTACAAAAGCTGATATACCTTTTATGTAAATTTTCTTTTTCAAATACAGTTTAAAATATGATATACTCCCTTTTATATGTGCTGTGAGATTTTTTTAAAATGCAGCATATAAGATTGAACAGCAACAAAAACCAAAAGCAGCAACACAAAAAAAGGACTGTTTTCTTAGAAGTAGCTTTCTGATTTTTTTTTCTCTTCACCAAAAACTAAATAAAAACACCACTAAAGTAAAATACCAACCACCTACCTTATTTTAAAAGAAAAATTAATTTTTTCCACATTAACTTTCCCATTTCTTCTCCCTCTACTGTTGTAATTATTGGGTTTTGTTGAGATATTTGCTCTGAGGAAGAATTTTTGACTAAACAGACGTGTTCCTATTTTACCCTAAGATTTTGATGAGCAAAAGCATAAAGAATTTGCAGTAATTCCACTGATACCTTTTTTCATGTAGTTATATTAGAATGTGTTATGTTTTTTAAATGCTTGTAAGCTAGATAATATGTAATGTATAGTATAAAGAGGAGTATTGTGCTTTTGAAAAAATGTATACTTTTGACTTTTGTTTACCTATTAGATCTAAAATGACACCTTTAAGATTTTTATGTAATAAATATTGGCCAACTAATAATGAAATTTTATTTATAGAAAGTTACTAGTAAAAGTAAGTAACTTTTGTGTACCTGTAATCACCCAAATTGAAATTAAATTTTAATTGCCCAGCTGTAATCTGGATGGAGAGACCTTTCGTTGTAGCTAATGTTAGGAAATGACCTAAAAATAAGAAAGTATAGTGATCTGTATTCATGATTAGCCTTATAAAAATTTGAATTGCTGATAGTTATGGTCTGTTGGAAAGTACAGAACATTTGTGTGAAAAAAATATTTAGCATGTTTTGAAAAAAAATTCAGTTAATATTTTTTTTTCCATTAGAATACTGCAAAATCCATGTATCTTTTCTAAAGAAATTATGTATTCAGTCTTTCTCTTGAAGAGAAGATTGAAGGGGTGTCTTGTGTTCTTGGAGCATAGCAGTATTTCCTTTTTAGTTAATATTGATAGCAAGGAGTCATACCTGAGAAATCATGAAACAGAAGGTTAACCATTGTCAGCAAGTTAACTTGACTGTGTTTAGTTTTTAGAAACTGTAAATAATCTTCTAAAGTAATAGAATAAGGTCTTCTCAGAGAAATAAGTACCATGTCTCTCATGTTCTGATTACAATGCTTTATTATTTAAAAACTTAGACGTGGCAGATAAAAATACTTATTGGTGCTGATAAGTTGCATAGTAAATTTAATATAAGAAATATATTTATAGAGCTTAATGAACCACAAAATTAGTATATTCATGCCAGGCAAATAAATGGGTAGGGTTTTGTGCAAGCTAACATATTAACCAAATCTAGCCTAGTGACAAAAGTTATAAGGAGTGTAGATAATGTAGATAGATATCAGTCAAATGCCTTATGCTGTATACATTCCTTTCAAATGAGGACCTTGAGCAAACAGCATAGCCAAGTGAGGACTCCTCACGAGCTTTATGGGTGTATTTATACTTCATGTAGTAGCGGTACCTTGAAAGGTACCGGGGAGGTCAGGGCCAACCTCTGCCTCGGTGATGAGAACCAGAGGTGGTCTCTTTCCTTGTCTAAGGGTCTCTGTTTCTGGCTTTCTTAGATTGCCCAATTATAGGTCACATTCTTTTCGCTTCTTTCTCTTTACTTTCCCTGATCCTGATCCCACTGTAGCTAATTCTTCTAAGTTACTGAAATACAGACCAATACACTAGGCAAGGCATATATTTATTTTTCTTTGAATGGCAGAAATGCTACATATCAATATATTTATATAAGAATCTATATAAAGTATAGCTATATATACTTATGTTGTAACTTTAAGAATTTTCAAGTTAGCACACCTAACTGGGTGTTGTGATTCTTGGTAGACCACGTGAGAGAGGCCCCCTGGCACTTTGCTAGGGCGTGCATGAACTCTAGTGTTCTCTCTACGCCCTCTTTTGGCTCACTGATGTAATTATACTGGCTTTAGAGATTTATTGCCCCACAAGTGAACTGTATAGTCAAATTCTGAACATATCAAAGGTACAAATTTAAGGGAAGTCTATGTAAAAAATTTAAGGTTTTATGAACATTAATGTGTTCCTATTTATGATTTTGATGTCTAGTTCATACAGGTATGACCTCTTTTCTTCATTTATGTGTATTCATATTGTATTTTTTTTACTGTCAGATTTATATCAAATGAAGATAAATACACATGAAACCATTTCATGAATTTTATTTTGAACCTTATTTTGGCACACTAAGCCTTAGAATTGAAAAAACCATTACCTTAAAATTACCAATTTACTACGAAACAAATTTATTGTAGTTAAAATAGCAAGCAAGTGTCTAGTGTGTTTTACTGAATATATAAAAAAATACATTTAGTTTTTAATCCTAGTTTTGGAATGAATTTTTTTTACTGATTCAATTTCATTAAAATAATGAGATTACTAATTCTTTCTATAATTTTCTTCATTCCTTTTAATTATGCTACTGTGAGTTAGAACTGTACCTTTAGTAGCCGATTTATTATGTATTCTGGATAACCTTGAAAATAACTAATGATGTTGAACATTAGAAAAATAATTATGAGCGGTGAGATTATTGATGTAATCTATATATTGGATGAAATATTTCCTTATAAACATTCCATTTCATTTTAAGTGAAATGTATGTTAAAGGATGTTTTATGTCAGCAAAGTCATTAATTGGGCTTCCGGAAATGAAAGATTTTTAAGTAGTTATTAGAATTTACACCTCTTGAACAATTATGTTTGTTGCTATTTATTTCTACAAGCAAAAATATTTTATAGGCTCAAGATCGTGGGCAAAAATTGACTGAGTTCAAAAATTTAAAAATATTAAATCAGCTGATGTTCCACTGTAAGAAAAATAACTATTTTGCTTAAGAATTGTATTAAAAATATTTGTGGTTAACTTAAGAAATAGGTATATTTAAAATAGTAATATATTAATCTCTTTGAGCAGAAGAAAGCGTAGTTTTAAATAATAGAAATAGAAAACATAAGCATAGATAAAGTTTAGTGTAACAGCTAAGTTAAAATTTCTGTCAGAATGGGCATTAGGGATTGTTTGCTAAAGCTTAGGAGTATTTTTCTCTAGGATGGTGGCTAATTATAACTATTCTTTATCAGGCTTTTTCAGGCCAGTTTTGTACAATAAATTGAAGGTATGTCTCACCCCAAAGGGTGTTTTGATGCTTATCATGAAGACTTGCGTTAGGAGAACACCTCCACCCAAGACGTATGAAGTAATTTTGATTTTTAACCATGTAGCTTTCTATGTGTTAGATGATGGAGTGGTTTGAATGTTCTCACTTATGTTGGTATAAAATCACAATATATGCAGCTGTAGTTTACAAAAGCATTAATATTGACAGAGCTGCTAGTCTTTCCCTGGATTTTTCTCTAGTGTCTACTTCCCTTAGTGCTTCCTGTATGAATAGACTACTTAGCTCAAGTTTACTAAACTATTGCTGCTTTATTAAATAAGTTTTTGACATGACCTCTATATATGTAGATATATCTAGAATTTATTTGGTACAATTTATACTTATAAACATTAAATAATTTATTAATAGATATGAGATTTTTTTACCCAATTCTCCTACTGTTGCTTTAAAAAAAAATAAGTATTAGCAAATGTAGTTAGTAAGTCATACACATTTAGTGTGTTCTACTTGCTAGTATTAGTAGCCATAAAACTAATAAATGAATGAATGTAGTATTTAATGTCAACATTTATTACTTTAGATCCTAAGAATCCTCTGAATTTCTCTGTAAATCACTAATTTCATTGAACTCTGAATTTAGCCATTCTCAACTGAATCCTAGAATATTCTTCAGTAGAACATGAAAAAGTAATAGAATCAACTTGCTTGAAGTATTTTGAACCAATGTTGTTGTTGTGTATATCAGTCAATATTTAACATTTCTGCTGTGTTTGGGATGGTGATGGTTTAACTTCAGGAAAGTTTTCTCTTATGTCTCCTTTCATTATCATTGTGTAATTTTTAACAACTAAATTTAGTGCATTTTTGTCTGTTCTTCAGATGTTATCATATACTGCCTGCTAGTGCTAATTTGAAACAGAAATAATAGTGATCTTTATTCTAACGTTTTTGGTATTTTCCATTATCATTAATTTTTTTTTTTGCTATATTGTTTCCTTTTTCTACCATAGAGTACAGGTATAAATGAGGAGTGAGTAGCCAAAACTGGATAAAGCGAGTAGGGGAACATAATGAGATAGAGAGAAGGCTAGACAGACGATGTATAATCAGCATCTTAACAGCAGGGTTTATTGGACACAGAATTTCCCTGCTACAATCACTTTGGCCTTAGCTCTTGTTGATACTGTTTTACTCTAAGAGTTGTTAATGCATGTAAGCATTTCATTTGAGTTATTTTACCTAAGGAGTTTATATTGCTGATTCTTGTCAGCTAGTCAGATGCCTTTGAGAAATTCTCTTTAATTTTAAGCATCATAATTGTATAG